TTGGGATGGCCCCCCCTCGAAAGCCATTTTTTTTCGCATGCCCCCCCCCCAAATCCCACCAGCCCCCCCTCCCTCATAAAAAATGAACGGTCCCTAAGAGGCCACCCTCTATTAAGCGGCCGGTTTTCAAAGTCCCGATTTTTCGCTCATACAGATGCTGTATTTGTTACTTTATTAGGCGGCCAACTCTATTAAGCGGCCGCGGCCACCCTGTAGCAGTCCAATGTTTGTCTTTCTTTGTTATGTTTACCTGTATTTAGCGGCCACCTTTAACGGGAAACTAAGCCACATGTCATTTTATGTAGTATTTTGTTGTGTTTAAAGCGCGATCCATCATCACTATAAAGAAATAACATTTACAAAGCTACTGTAAGCTGATAATCGGCCGTTTAGTATCGTTAAAGTTTTCCAGATGTCCGCAATGCGCTGAAGTACAGTACCATATCACGAACAACGCCAAGTGAGTCTTTTTTAGTGATCCTGTATTAAGCGGCTAGTTCCTCAAGTCCCAAGGGTGGTCTTACATACAGGTTCGACTGTGCTATAATTTAGCCACAAGTAACCACAAGTCGTTACTATGCCACAAATAGCAGTTGTAATAAATTAGTAATGAATAAATTAAAATCTTCAAGATCTTGCATCTATTTATTAATAATTTTTATAATTTTTGATTTGCAAACTTTTTTTGCGTTTGAACTGCGCTTCAATCCTTACAACTCTAAGCTGGAGTTAGCGATTCTCCTGACTGATTTCCGTGCGTCTTACTAGATTTAGGTTCCGAGAATTTCGTCGTGCGTCAGGACAAAAGGGAGCTTAAGCATCGACTTCGACGCAGTGGACGACGCCAAGTCAAAAATGAATTTATATTTTACCAGCGAAATTCGCGCTTGTCTAGATTTGTTCAGTACGCCAGTGGCTCTAAAAACGTGCTCAGGCTAAATATGCAATGACAGCGTTCAATTGCAGATGGAAATACGAAAAATCAACCCTCCTCTTTCGCGTTCTTCAGACTACGCAGAACTTGGTCATTTCACGTTCCTGTTTTGCAGACGACGGTTAAGAAATGTACAAAGGTTTATAACGCACGCGCACAGCTATTGTTTTGCTCATTAAACCTTTTGTTTGGTGATGTTCTCGTTGCCGTCATCGTGGTGGTTTGCTTAAGTTCCCTACTCTCTCGAGACAACGCAGAATTTGGTCATTTCACGTCGTTGTTTAGCAGAGCACACATGACTGAAAATGCATGTTCAAAACTATTGTTCTTCCAGAGTTAACCACGAGTATGCAGATGAAATCTTTACGTATGCGGCCATTCAAATGAAAACGTCTTAGCAGAACTGATTTTGGGCCAATTAGCGAAAGGAGTGGAGGAAGAAGATTCAGGCGCCTCAATGTTACCAGCATCCGCCATTTTGGAAAATTGCGGCCTTGGTGATATGACATTACTAGAGCATATTTTTCAAGTGGAAAATCACTGAACTCAGTGATGGTTCAAGGAAATAGCAAAGAAAACACAGGGCTTAGCCAAAAAAAAAAAATGAATATTCTAAATTCTCCAAATTCTCTAAATATCATATTTTCTTAATATCTATGAAACTTCTTTAAATATCCCCCCAAAATATCCACATATCTGAGGAAAGGCCTAAACACTTTCAAGGGGTGCTGTTACGTTTTCGAATATTTTTAAAATTAAAATTTGGGATTATGTTCAGCTGTTTACAGTTGTAGTCTAGAGAGTGATGGGGCTAAACGGACTTTCAACGGCGCACATATAAGAAACAGGTCTCTTGGATGAGACGCGGACCAATGTCGTCCTTATAGGATCACGCGATTCCAACTCTATATGATAAGTTATTTTCGATGGATCCTTGCTTTTAGATGTGCTGCCTGTCGCTGGCACATTCTCATCTTTGCCCATCAATTCTTCAAGGTATGCCACATGATTGTCGCTGTCTTTTTTGCGTTCAACACACCGAAGAACAAAAGGAATAAAAGAAGCAAAGATTGCAACAGTTCCAGCCATCAGAAACGCGGCCATGTAGTTCCCAAACTTGTCCGCCATGTAACCTGGGTTAAGCAAACCATAATGAGTCTGTCATTGTTTTGGTTAGAGCCTAGGTATACCATCGTTGCTGTGGCAACAGGTTTATGAGATGTCAAAATGTTCTAATTGCCATTAGGAAATAATTCGACTTAGTAGCTCTATTTATTATTTATTTATTTATTTATTTATTTTATTTTATTCTATTTTTTTTTGAGAGAGAGAGAGAAAGAAAAAAACTCAAAGGCGCGGGGGCACTTGTTAAGACGGTGGTGTGTAACCCGAAAGAGGCATCTTTCGCTTGAAGGATATTGTGATCTCGCATGGAATTAACCGTCGAGACACTTAGAGGACGACCAGTTACTTCAGTACCTTTTGAACTATCTGTAGTTTATTAAACTAAGGGTGCTCTCCTTTGGGGTGATCTGGATCTGGATCAGTGATCTAAGATCACTCGGATCATAATGCATCAAAAGAACCGATGAATCCACTCTGGTCACTGGTTGATGGGCTCCTTTGGTGCACCATGATCCGAATGATCTTGGATCATTGATCCTGACATGGATCATCCCAAAGGATCGCACTTTAACTTTCCGTGGTATATGTGATCTTTCGCCTCTTATCCGATCTCGTCACCAGAGCCCACAGGTTTTCGGTGAGTATATAGCGACCAACTGCGCGCCTAACGATTTTTTGTAGTGGTTAAAAGCACCGTGGCCACTGAGTTCCAGATTGAGATTGGCGTCTGTCAATTTGTAGGCATTCTGGAAGAGGTAGGACCCTGGTCTCAAAAAGTTTGCACTTTTTTTCTACTGAAGCGATAATAACTCCACGGTCCACCACGGCTCAAATTTGCGGCGATAGCCAAGGAAAAGATAAACTACTGGGGCCAGAGGGTCCAGCCCGCGTATCAACTAACTGGGCTTTGCTACCAAGTTTCTGTACGTCTTTCTCTCAAGTTTTCGCGATCATTTCATTTCGGTCACGTATCTGAGATGAACGACTTTTTCCTCAATCTCGATCCCTGGCTCTCTCTCCTTGGCCACCCTTGTTGTTGAGGAGAGAGAACCTGGTATCGAGGTTGCTTTTTCGCTCAGATCACGTGGCTCCAAAATGATGAACCGTGGCGAAACATTGAGGTCTAGGAACTAGGCAAGGGGCTGTGGACTCCCATTCCTTCCCTTAGCGTAACATCTAGAAATAAACCGACTAACCTGACAGAGGTGGGCTACAAACGATAAAAATACCAGCAGACATCATGCAGAACCCGAGACAAACAGCTCGTTGAGACACCTGAACGGACCTGAAAAGCACAATAATGAATGTTGACACCATCAATCCATCCGCTACACTGAACACCACGACCACCGCTGCCAGGCAGGCGTAGGTCTTTGCCTGTAAGAAGAGAATCGTGCTGGTACCCATAACAAATACCGCTGCCTGGTAAAGGAAGAGTGAGTTGACACGTTTGATGTCGCAGAGGCAGCCTGCACCGAGACGGCCAACCGCCGCAAAAACTCCAATAAACAAGAAAAGTGTGGAGCTCTTGTCGGCTGGAATTCCAAGATCATCGCAATGCTTTATCTAAGAAAAACAAGAAGGAAAATGTGTTGACGCTAACACAAATGACATGCGCTCTATCCTCACCGGGGTCACATGTGGGTTCATCCGTGAGTGGTTTTAATTCCTCCCTGGATACCTCTTGTGTTTCTCCGAATATTCCAGTTATTTTTCACCTCCTCAAGAAGCAGCATCTCCAATTAGCGATTAGATGCCCGGGCAACATGTCTTTCGCAAAACTTAACAAGGGACCCTGGCCATGCCNCCCCCCCCCCCTCCTCTTCCCGTCCACAAACCAGGTAATCTTGATAACAGAACCCATAACCAAGAACTGAGACGACCGAGCCTTCCCAAGGAAAAGAAATCTGCAACCTCCTTTTCCTAGGAACTGTTTGATTTAGCCTAGCCATGTGGGCTCCGTGATCCATGTGAGCGTGATCTTTCTCTTTTTTCATTCATAGAACTTTGCAGTGACATCAAATAAAATATAAGCAGTGAAAGAGAATTTTATATCACGAAATCATCAAAAGTTACATTGCGGAGGCGAGGTGGCCTCATGATTAGTACGCACGATTCCGGATCGAGCGATCTGGGTTTGAGTCATAGCCAGGGACATTATTGTGTTGTGTTCTTGGGTGAGAACGTAATGCTGGCGGTAACCTTACGATGGACTAGCATTCCATCTAGGGAGGGGAGGAGTAGAAATACTTCTGGTCGCTTCACACCACAGAAACTGGGATAAGTTCCGGCTGCGTGCGCCACTGAATATATGGGCTTGAATGGGCCTGGGGTGAAAATGTTAAGGGGCACTCACCAGATGTACATAAGGAACCATACGTGAGAAGTTACTGAGTCCACCCACGGCCAATAACACTAGAAATATCGGGTTCTTCCATATAGAGAAATCACAACTGAATTTCCCGTGGTTCTTCTTGCCTTGATTCGACGTGGTAGTCGGTTCTTGATTACCATGGTTTATAAGGCATCCTGTCAACGATGAAAGACCTAAAACACCCGAGAATATAAGAAACGTTTTCCTCCAGTCGAACACACCTACCAACACCTGTAAAACAGGGCCACATATCATTGTTCCCAGGCCCTGGCCGGCTGTCACGAACCCAAGAGCGACGGATCTTCTCTTGCTGAAATATTGGGTTATAATCATCGGCGCAGAAATGTAAACGAACGTATTACCAACACCGAAGAGTATACTAAAGGCCAAGTAAAGAACTATGATGTTTGGAGCCACAGAGCCGAGCGCTAGAGCAACAGAACAAGTTAAGCAACCAGTGAAGGTGGCCAGACGGCATCCAAATCGGTTGACGAACACACCAATGGCAGGACCGAGGAACAGAAATGTTGCCAAGGTAACAGAGCTCACCCATGCTATAAAGATGATAGGCATTAAAAATATAAGAAATAACTTGGACACTGTCTAACTATTGTGCTTTGGACCGTGCGGTACGTAGCTAAATTGAAAAGACTGCCTGTTTGATGTACATGTGTTGCGTGACGGAATGGTAGGGTCCAGGCATAGGCGTACGAGCTGGGGGGAGGGGGCTGCAGCCCCACCTCCCCCCTCCAGCTACGAATATTATGTTATTTTTCGGGCAAAACGCTCATGATTACTTTTTATAGAATGTTTTCTTTTAATGAGTTTTAGCTAGATTTTACTCAGATTGAGACTGTTGTTAGAGCATCTTTGTTTGACTGAGTGTGCAAGCTTTGAATATAACTATTTTTGGAATTATAGCAGTTTCATTAGATGTGGGAATAGGCCTTTTGCAGCTAAGCCATCACGTGACCTACTTTTCATAAGATTATGGGCTATGCCAGAAATGGAAAAAGCATGTCGAAAATATCAAAATGGCCAAGTTTGAGGCCACCATCATCAGAGAATGAGATTTTATCACGGTCTGAATTTTTGAAAGAATAAGAAGATTTGTACGCAAAAAGTTGTTGGAGAGCAAGACCTTGCTCTCCAGCAACATTTTCCATACAAATCCTCTAAATTTTCCGAAAATTCAAACTGTTATAAACTTATTCGTTCATTCCTGGGGCCTCAAACTTGGCCATTTTGGTATTTTCGATGCGCTATAGCCCATAAGTTATACCCCATAATACAAAAATTTTTTTAGAAAAAATTTGGTCACGTGACCCCAGCTGCAAAGGGCCTATTGTGAACATTTTTGTTTTTCATGCAATTTGAGTGCGTTTGCAGCCCGATTTCAACAATCACGCACAAATCCCGTGCAAGATATTGGGGATTATTCAAATCCGTGCAATGCATTCGAGACAGTCGATATTTAGGCACTGCAAATCTCGTAAGGAGATTACTTTTCCGACCCTCTTAGGCCTCGTCCATGCATACTCTGCCGGAGGAATTTGAAAACGAAGGTTTCATTCTGAAAACGCATTTAAAAAATGTTTCCCGTCCACACCACGCTGGAGAAATTTGAAAATGCAACAATCACCGTTCATTTTGGATTTGTGTTCAAGAAAAACTTGGACGGGAAAATCACATGATTATCATGATGCCACAATAAAGCGGAAAACCGGCGTTTCCAAACTCCTCCGGTTTGAAGGGCGTTTTTCGAAAAGCTCCGTTTTCGTGACGGATTAGTAGGGACCTTAAGATACGAGGACGGGAAGGCCAGGACGGCAACGGCAGTGGACGCGGGAAACTTTCGCGGGTCCCGTCGTGTCGCCAAAAACAAAATGCTTAAGATGTGCATTTTCGCAAAGGACAGCGACGTCAACAATTCGAACCTCGTACAAGCTATTCACAGAAGCAATGACATCCATTAGACTATAAAAGAGATGGTAGAAANATCAGCCTGAGGAAAAAAGAGCATTGTAGAAAAATAAATGAATAAAAAAGAAAAGTAAAAAAAAGAAAAAAGTAAAGAAAAATAAATGAATAAAAAAAATACAGTGAAATGTTGCATACGGTGTACTGTAAGTGTCCATCCATTTTGTGAGTCCCTTAGTGGGGTGTGAGAGACACATTATTTTCCCCTAATGGTATCCCCTGAAAGTGTGGGTTGGAGCCCTGGCCAAGGACGTTGTGGTCTATTCATACACAAGACATAAAGTGCTAAAATGTGTAGTGGGAGTCTGTCTGGGCAACTTAACAAAATGTTTGAGTAACCATTGATGGACTTACATCCCAGCCAGGGAAGCAGAAATTTGTCCACTACGGCCTTACCTGAACGAGAAGACTTTTTTTAAATTTATGCGACATGTTCTCCTCATAATATGGTGGTAAACAGGGAAATTTAGGACCATTTGGAATTGTTTGATAACAGTGGTGGTCACTAAAGTATGTTTGTCTCTGGTAATCTTGCATCATAGGCTGGCAAGGCATGCAGAGAAATTAATGACTGTCTCATTTAATAATTTAGATTGCTGCTCAAGGCAAGTGAGCTTTTGAGTTATGCAAGTATTCTAATCCCAAGAGAAGAGTTCCAAGGATGCTTTAAGCTGTTAAAATATTTTAATTTACCTCTTTGAATTCTGTTGAGTCATTTACCTGTTCTCTTTCAAGTTTCTGAAGAATATCCTGTAGCTTTTCACTTCCTTGTTTTAACTCGTGTTGTGTTCTGTTCAGCTCATCTAGTTCAATCTGTCAAAGAAATGGCAAGGAAGATATCTAGGGGTTATTTACTACCTACTGTCTGTTAAACTGTCTCAGAGCAACACATAACACAACAAAGTCTAGTGCGGTGATGAGGTTAACAAAAAATCAATGACTTGCTAAATAAAAGAATTGCTATACATATCACCAAATATGTTGTAAACACTAAGCTAAAACTGAACACAATTTAATAACGCATTAATGAACATGTAACTAGGAATAAATGTGATTACTTCTGAAATAAATGATTGCCAAGAATAAATATAGCACTGCATGACTTCATGATGTGGGATTGACAACAAAACTGAAAAAGTCTAAGCACGCTTTGCTGTGCTCAACTGACAAGCAAAATTAGACAATAATGCACACAAATAGAAAGTATTTTGATCATAACCTGTGCTTGTTCAAACAGTGCTCTTGTACGTCTTTTAATTTTATCCTCCACAGCAGACCGGAGTGAAGCTTTGATGTCATCTTCATTTAAATTGCTACTTGAGGTGGTTGACATTTCCGTTGTGACCTGGTTAGCTTGAGTTGTGGGAGGAATGCTGGCTGGACCATGGAAAGATGATTGTGTGTTTGGAGGATAAGTTGAGTGATTAGTCACTGGGTATGGGGGATTAGATGAACCCATGCTGGCCCCACCATGAGAGGGATAGGGTGGATAAGGGGGTCTGTTACCACCTGTTCCCCCAGGGCTGCTACCTGCACAAACAGAAACAAAATCAATCAATTACTCAGTCAGTCAATCAATAATAAATAAGACTGTTGATCGATCAATCAATCAATCAATCAATCAATCAATCAATCAATCAATCA